ATTCTACACCAGTTGATTAGGTAAAATCGCCAGTAAAGATCGTCGGAACCGACGCTACAATGACCGGCGACTACGCGGAAATCTACGCGAATATATAATATATATGTATATATATGTATACGTTATCGATAAATTCTCTTACTAAAATATAATATTGTGGTGTATTCTGTATTCGCCAATGATCGTTCTTTCGTTTATAACCGTCCCGGCAGAAAGCATTATGGTTACTGCCGAAGCAAGTTCGTAAAACCGCGACGGATGCAAAATTATGCGATATGCAGATGTACGGAGAATCTTAAATCTCTTAAATGCGATTGTGTGAAATGCATTCTGAAGAAAATACAAGAAAAGGCATGACGGAAAAATCTCTCTCTCTCTCTCTCTCTTTCTCTCTTTTGATGATAATCGAAATAATACTTCGAGTATCACATCAGCCGAGATAAAATTTTTGCATATTAATTTTCATCTGTTGTATCATAGATAGTTGAAAATTAATACACGGAATAATATATAAGTTTATATGTGTATATATATATATGTAGTAAAAAGTGCATTGAACCGCAAGTAATCTCTGTTCCGTTTTTCGGTGATAATAAAAAATAATTATCATCCTTAAAAACAGATAAAACATGAATTGTGTAAATGACGAAAATGCAGAAAAAGTGTACAATATAAAATCGTAGTTCAGACTGTAGTGAAAAAAGGCGAGTTTCGCCGGGCAGTGTCAGTGTGGGCAGTTTCAAGAATATATTTTCGAGAGAAGAGAGAACGATATAAAGTTTGTCGGCAGTTTTCAATTTCGGAGCAGTCTTTATGTTTCATCGTCGCGGTTTTACAGCGGGCAACACACACACGGTCGGTAAATAATTCGCGATCCAAGACAATCAACTGTGATTTCAATCGACAATCGACTCTGATTATTTAACTGATATCCTTGTATTGTAAACATTTTGAGTTAAATTTCTTACTTGCAACAAATACACGCGCTTTTAAATATATAGACGAAGGCCGGGTAGATAAAAAATCGTCGCGAATTATTTGCCGCACTTGAGTCATCGCGCAGATCGGCGGCGCCTGATAAACAAAGATCGAGACTCGATCTAGCGAGTCCGGAGCTATTTTGGCAATTATTGTACTTGTCGATATTTACATTACAAGTATTATCATACATACCACATGCGTGAAACACCGAGAGGCAAATACATGATTTTATCATTTTTCTCCTTCTGCAAAAATTTTAATAAAATTCCACACATAAAACTTAAGATATAATAATTTTAAAATCACGCAACATATATAAGAGAATAAATAATATAAAGGTTTTTTATATATACGAGTGAGATAAAAATGTTTGCTGTTGCAATATATAAGAAACGAGCAGAGTAACTTTATTATCATTCTCTTTCCAAAAACCGTAAAAATAAAAGTCTATATAAAAAATATTTATGGCGCGCGTTTGCATCTCGGTTTTTCCTTGTTTTTTTTTCTTCTTTTTTTTTTATATTAAAAGGAAATCGTTACAGTGAGCAAGCCGTTCAATTCGCTCCGCGGTGAACGGCAGAACAGATTATCGTTATCGAGATTGAAAGAAATCGCTCGACAGAGAAGAAAAGACCGTATTAACATTTGTAATTTGTACACGCGGCTGTCGCCGTTGATTCCCGCGCGGATTGTACACGTTACGCGATCGATGTGATTCGAAAAATATTGTACTTTACAATCGATCGAACGGCGACGAGTGTTACGACTTCTACACAATATAGATTATACGTATATATAGAGACCAATAATCACCTACATTAGTTATCAATTAATTAGCGTAATCTTTTAACGTTTTCTCTCTCTCAGGTGCTTGATTTTGATCATCGAGGATCTTCGATACGAGCATTACGAAATATGCAACCTTCTATAACCCAAACACTATTTGTTGCGTTTTTTTTAGTATGTAAAAGTATAAATATAAATCAAGCAGTGATAAAACTTTGCAAATGTAATATAACTATTATTTATAAAAAATAATAAACTATTACCGCACTTGTAATAATAAATTATTCGATTAAGTGATATTTCTTTAAAAAATGTTTGGTGGCTGCAGTGCTACTTTCATAACGCAATGAAACACGGCGACGGAAAAAACATAAAGTGGATTTAAAAATATGATGTGTGTTATTTCAACATGTGTGTGTGTGTGTGTGTGTGTGTGTGTGTGACAACAGGGTTATAGAGAGTTAACTCACAAATCTCGTTTTACATATATCTCGGATATAATCTAATTCTCGTGCCGCACGCACCCCTCCTCTGTTGTTCGCTTAAAATATAGTTTTTTATAATTTTTCGCAGAGATACAAAAATACGATTCTTGTTTACGGTCAGCAGCACTGCACGTAAGTCGAATACGACATGCATGAAGAGACACGTACGACAATCGCCTTGAAGTCAAATTTCAAACGCAATATACATATATCTACAATTTTGTCTCACACAGTCATAATCAAGAGATTTTTTTTTTTTTAGTAAATAGAGATTAATATAAGTAGAGATTACATGTAACAAGTATAGTCCTTTATAAAAAAAGAATATTATTAGTAGTTTTATAATATGATTATATTCTTAATATATATTATATATAAAGCATACATATGTATAGATTTTATATATAATATATGTTACACAAACGCACACTTTTTTATTCCCGATAGCTGCCAATCTTCAGTTACCAAAATAGACGGGAGTATACGTGTTTTGTCGAGAGATCGAATTTAATGCGTTTATTCCAAACAGTTTTATGAAACTTTCGCACGTTATTTTGTTTTCATAAACTGAAGAATTGAGATTTAATGTGTTTATCGTTAATTTATTACATGTTGATTCTGGTCTTACGTTATTTTTAGCCCGAACAAGGCCATCTTCGTGGTGTCTCACGGACGACACTCCGGTTCTTAGGGGATCATCGGAGAAGCGCACACACATATAATCGTCTAAACATAAAATTTTCCAAAAATATATTTCCCATTCTTTTTTCCCTCGCGTCAACCGTACGCCCAAGTGATTCGAATCCTTAAAAACACAAACCCGTCAAATCTAAAATTAATAAAATTGCAGTAATGGTATAATTTTAAAACTTAAATGATCATAATTATATTTACATGTTGTTCCGATGTGTTTGTTCATATCTGCAATATTTTTTTTATAAGATAAATCTAAATTACAATGAGATTCATAAATATACAAGAACAGAACAAGCGTAATCTTGACACCGAACGTAACAATACCCCCTGTTAAATATTGAAAAAAATTATTCAATATTTCAATAGTTCCTTACATTTCAGGAAACTTTTCTATTGCAAAACCTTATTTATACAATTTCAAGGAAATATCTACAATAAACATCTGTATATGTCCATTGTATATGTTCATTGCTTAAAAACTTATTATTAACGTCAACAATTTTAATACTCTTACGCAAAGAGAAATTTTTTTCAATACTTTTAATGAAGTATTTTCCGAAGCGTTCCGCGTCAACCAATGTGTTATTCAAAATGTGCGTTTGCATCTGCCTTTGTCTCCTTCTTACGTACACGTTTGCCTAATAGGCAATTTTCTCTGCACAACATGGAAAATAGACGCACATTGCGCTAATAAGACGTCTTTCTCTCCCCCTCCCGACCGATGAAGACACGCGAAGTACTTAAAAAGCACTCAGGCAGACGATCAGCATCGACAATCTACGTGTAAAGTGCACCATATTAAAAATACAGTTTTTTTCTCATCATAACATCCCTCAAATCACTTTTGTGTGTGTGTATATGTGTGTGTGTGTATGTTTATATTCTGCATCTGTGTCGTCGGTTTAAACATCACCGTAATAATTGTAATAGTGATGATGGTAATAATAATAATTACTATTAGTTCTTGTATTAGGTATATCTTACTCTTTTTTTTTTCATCAAATCGTTTAAAACTATGTCGCGTGTGTCTTTGTTTTTGCGAAGTTCATCAATCTTCCCGTCCTTGTCTTCTCTTCTCTCCTTATTCCGGGAGAAAAATGAATTTCACGCCGGAATTAATCTCCGTGAAATTCATGCGCATTTCTTCCACTTATGTGTTATGTATAATTGTTATTTATACGTATCTACTTACATAATGTGTTTTACGTGTAATATTTATAACGTTATAATATTTCATGCGCAAGTGTGAAACACACGGACGGTAGTGCCTTAAAGATGACACTCGAGATCCGAGAAGAGTTCCGAATTAACGAGAACGATGCGCATTCGAGTGTGTCCACGACTGTTTCTCGTAATTGTACATTACGTGTCTACACGTTCAAAATGTATATACTTTTTTTATAAGTAAATAATTATTATACGTATATTTTATACCTGTGCTTCTCTTGCGCGCATCAACTGCGAGAAAGTTTCTCTGTAGATATACGCTGATCGAACGAGATGATCAACAAAAATTCACTGTTTTTTGCCTTCTTTTTCGGAGATTATCGCATGTATTAACGCGCGATATGCTTTGTAACGCGTTATTTAAAAAAAAACAAACAAAAAAAGAAAACGTAGGACATCGTGGCTTCTGCATTCGCTTATCTGTCTTTCTCACAGACGTTGTTTTTATTTTTAATATTAACTTATTCTATAAATTTATACTCTTAATTATCTACGAGCCTTCAATTTTTTATTAAAAAATTTATGTGTTTTCCACAATCTTTAAAATAAGATAATTTTTACAGACAAGATATCAAGTTACACGATTATTGAATATTATTTTTACATCTTCGGGAAAAAAGTTCTGCTTATGTAAACAAGTTCGATATCAGATTACAAATAATAATTATATATATTTGAATGTGTGTTGAGGTGTCCTCGGGTTCGCAACGAAAATTTGAATAACGGGCTCTCGAACCAATTGCAGGATGTTATGCATTAATTACAAATCTCTTACAAGTAAGAGTTAATCCAAACGTTTCAACTTTATTATTAAGTCATCATCAGTGGATATCAAATCTTACAAAACTATATACAACATTTCTTTGTTACACATTATTGTAGTCTACTATCACTTGTATGTGTGTGTTCGTGTGTCACATGTCAGTCTCGACTACAGGTGATAGTAGACTACAATAATGTGTAACAAAGAAATGTTGTATATAGTTTTGTAAGATTTGATATCCACTGATGATGACTTAATAATAAAGTTGAAACGTTTGGATTTAACTCTTACTTGTAAGAGATTTGTAATTAATGCATAACATCCTGCAATTGGTTCGAGAGCCCGTTATTCATTATTCAAATTATATATATAATTATATATGAGATCGGAACGATTTCATATATGATTGTATGTAATAATACATAATTAGATAGAGAATTTGTCCGTAGGAGAAGAACTTTTTCCCCAGATTGTTAAAACTTTATGTACACGTACGATTTTTTTATTTATAATTTTAAAAATGTCTTTTTACTTCTATTTTACATACATATAATTGTTGACTTTGTTAAATTTTTCGATAAAAATTTTGTTCAAGCAAGGTAGAATTATCGCGTCAGCGTCCTCCGTTTCCTTTTGCGTTAAATGAAACAAACGTGTTACCGTTAGATTCGAGAATTAGATAACGCGCGCGCACACAGTGTGACGGCGAGAGAAGGCCGTCGTATACTAATCAACGCCGGTGCGATTAACACAATGTGCAATCTCTCAGTGTCTTCGCATGCGAACCCGCATTCGTCGTCACCGCCGCCGCCGCCGCTCTTGTAAATACGGTTTGATTCTCAATTCAATTCTTTGAACGCGCCGAGCCGAACCGCGCGTGCTCGCCGCAAGCACCGTCGTTTCGTAGGCACGAAAGTTATTTAATTTATTGCGTGTGTATTTACCGACACAGTTTCCCTGAGAGAGAAACTTCACTATACGTAATATTTTTTTCCGTAAATTCGAGTGACATGTATCACATAATTGCGACGCACAGACGAGATACACATACACACTCTTTCTCTCGTCCCGTGTCATCTTACTCTCGTCTCGTCCTTCTTCCACCTCGATTCTTCCGAGTGTTCTACCGTTGGGCTGATCAAGCAAGACGCCTCTCCTGATTGTAAGTAGAAATGCTTCTCGACGTAATAAGTCGACACTATATCCTCTGTTTGTTGCGTAAATAGCTTCCCAATCTTCCCTTTTGTGCTCAGCGAGAAATGAAGAACCAGCGACTCTTTTTCAAATCCCATGATCTTCCGCATCATCCGTCCGACACGCGTCAGACTTTCGAAATTGATACCGCTTCTCTTTACGCTTCCTCATCTCTTTCGTTCGTTCATCGTCAATCGCGAGTGAAATCGCGAATCAAAATCTTTCGTTTTTCTATATACCTTAGTCAGTCTTTCCATTATTCATACACATTTCGCAATTGCTTATTTTTCTTCTCGTACGTTTCGTCTGTTCATTTGCGCGCGTAAATCGTTAAAATATCGCTTTTACGTAAAATCGCGAGGAGTCGTCGCCTGTCGTCGTCGACGAGAAAGACTAGACTACTTTTGTCGATCTGAACAGAACATTCTCTTTAGAGAAGGATCTTTTTTGAAATGCGCGAGAAACCGCTGATAAATCGATTCTTCGCCGGAAAAGCGACGAGACAGACGGTATAGGCCTCTGCACAGGCCGCCTTTCGTGAGAAGAATAACGTCTCTGCGTATATAATCTTATACGACACTGCTACATGCACCGCGGGGCCTAACGTGTCCTTCGATGACGACGATGACGACTATACGACATCGCCGCCGCCGTCGCCCGCCGCCATTGCTGCACTCAGCCATGACCCGTTCACCGCAAGAGAGTAATGCGAAACCTTCACAAATAGTCGTTCTCGACCGCCTGAGCGTCCTGCGATTGTAACGTTGCCATTTCCTCCGCGGTTCCTGCCTCGCCCTCCTGCTCCTCCACGAAGTTTATGCTCCCGGCCTTGTACCAAACAACTATATCCACCATGAAGGCCAGCATGAGGATACCGCCCGTCGTACCTGTCGCGAGAGACGTTCACGTTATTACATAAACTCTCTCTCTCTCTCTCTCTGTCTTACATAATTATATCGCAAATATCGTTTGTGCGATTAGACATTTAATATTTATCCTTGTGATCTGTTCGATCTTAGTTTGTAACACACGCTGTTTCAAATTACAATAAATTGCAAATGAATATTGTATATCTCGGATATTGATAATGTATATGTTATTTAAATTTTGTACCGTGTAATAAGACTCTGTAATCTCTAATAAATATAATTGTTAAATAAATTTTGAGTCGCACGATTTATTAACAGTTTCAAGTAAATCTCTAAGATAAACGTACCGTGATAGAACATGCGAAAGACATTCGAATCGTAAAGCCAGCAGGCGCCTCGCTCGCCACAAGCGTATTCCCATACTAGACAAGCGGAATCCACCACAGCGCCATAAACGATAGGACATGGAACATTGCCTGGAGTAGAAAAATAAAAATGTACTGAAAGCTGTGCCGCGCTATCAGTGAAACAAAAATAATTTTATTAGAATTTTTAACATATTGCGCGCTAGACGTTAAAAAGTTTTTATTTCTCATTATCGTGTGTTTTTTGCGGTGCCAAATAAATTTATTTATTTATCTTTTCTTTAATCTACCAGATCAATATTTGGTTACATCAAAAATCATGAATACCTACGCACACATACTTACGTCGCGGAGATATGAATCTCTGCGGTCTGCATAATAATTAATACAAATATATTACCTATAATCTCTCTGGAAAACGAGTATTTATCTCGCAATCTTGAAATTTTCTGTTCTCGTTCCGTCGTTTTATTCGAGTTGAACAAGTTTCCGTACACTAGAGGCGCGCTGCAATTTGTGTCTGCGCGCAAAAAAAAAAAAAAAAAAAAAAAAAAAAAAACAACGGGAATATTCCGTCTCTCGGGAGACGTTTG